GTCGAGTCGGTTCCGACCCATAGCGACCCTGTACAGGGTTTCCGAGGGTGTAAATCTTTACAGGAGTAGAAAGCCTCATCTTTCTCCCGCGGAGTCGCTGGTAGTTTCGAACCGCTGACCTTAAGGTTTGCAGCCCAATTCGTAACCACTACGCTACCAGAGCTCCTTTAACTTGTAGGTAGGAATCCAATATTTAACTCAGCACACCAATAAAGCTCCTTATGATGATGGTCGGTAATGGAATGTTAGCTTAGAATGCTGAAAACGGCCTTTTTTTGTGTGTTAGAAGCTTCAGTGTCAATTTCCCCAAAGTACACATCTGACTTGGTGTGTTGGATTAGGGGCTGTTTCATTTGATAGACACGCCCTTTGTTTTTGACTTCTCAGATACTACCTGTACAACCTGATGTTCCAGACCTGGAAGACCTATGTGCACGGACAGCGGGATATGAGGAACAAGTTCTTGAGAGCCGAGCGTTATGGTAAGAAAAGGAGGTTTCCCTCTAGAGAAGTTGCTCGAGTGTACTTTTGCAGAAGGACAAGTGTGTTGTCTCAGAGAGGGAAGTTTTGCTTGGTTCCCTCTAATATTTTTCAGAATGGGTGACTCTGTGTGGGGATTCCCATGATTAGGCCCCTGTGGTTTTTTCCACATGGTGTGGTGCTCATCATGATGTGCATGGACTGTCTTGTTTCTGTCTTTTGGTTGCGGTGAGCTGGTCTGGTGTTTTCCATGGCACCTGGTGCTGCCATGTGGCTCACTCATTGGAAGGGACCAAGTACGGAGTTTCAAAAGTTAAATGCACTGTGCATTACCAGCTGCCTCCATTGAGACTTTCCTGAGGCACCCCAAATGCTACAGGTCACAAATATACCTGGTCAACTCCCTCTTCCTTTTGCTTTTCCTTTCTAAGTGAGAAGCTTTGTTTAGGAATGACTTGTTTGCTTCTCAGGGAGCCCTGGTGGCACAGTGTGTTCAGCTTTCAGCTGCTAACATGAAAGGTCTGTTGTTCAAACACACCAGCTGACTTCAGGAGCAAAAGATGAGGTGTTCTGATTCTGTGAAGATTAGCAGTCTTTGAAACCATATGGGGCAGTTCTACTCTGTTAAGTAGAGTCGCCTGAAGTCAGAATTGATTTGCTAGCAGTGGGTTTGATTTAGTTTTGGATTTTGTCCATCCCTCATGCCTCACATGTTATCTAAGATGGCCCTCCAAAGTGTCACTTGCCAGGCATGTTTCCTCTGGTCCCGCTGCCACTGCCTAAGAATGATACTCATCTTTTCCCTGTAATTACCTCTTTGATTGATCCTCCTGCATTTATTTTCTTCTCCTTCTCCTTCTCCTTGTGCATATAGGTATAAAAATAGGAAGGCCACTATTATAAAAAGTCAAGAAAAGGTTTTCACACTAACAAACATTCTTTAATGGGGAAGACTGGGTAAATCACTAAAGAGTAGACACATAGTAACTTGGGTAAAGAGGAAAGCCAAAAAAAGAAAGAAAAAGAGAGAAAGGAAGGAAGAAAGATGACCAGTTTATTCAGTGGGGGTAAAAAAAATCACCATCATTAACCTCAGCCAAAAAATAAAATGTGTAATAAGACAGCTCCACTTGGTCCTGATGTATTATCTTTCTTTCTTTTTTTTTTTTAAGTGTTTTATTGTGAATTATATGATAGTTTACATAGGAGAACATTAGTTTTACATTCATTCTATCGTACATCCTATCATTGCCATGGTTACAATCCCCTCCATGCATCATCAACCGACCAAAGGGCGTACCCTGCAAGCCTTCCCCCTACACTATCCATTTTTATCTTTTTTATGTTCATGTTGTTGTTGTTGCTAAGTACCGTGGAGTCGGTTCCAACTCATAGTGACCCTACACAGGGTTTCCGAGGCTATAAAACTCTACGGGAGCAGACTGCCTCATCTTTCTCCCACAGAACTGCTGGTAGTTCCTAACTGCCAACCTTGAGGTTAGCAGCCCAATTCGTAACCACTACGCTACCAGAGCTCCTTCTTTATGCTCATAGATTGCTGTTAATTTTGTCAAAGATTTTTACATCTGTGTTCATCAGGAATGTTGACCTGTAGTTTTCATTTCTTGAAATATCTTTGTCTGGTTTTGGCCTCAGCTCAATGTTGTTTTTGTTAAGTGTTGTTTAGTCATTTCTGACTCATAGTGACCCTGTGTAGGATTTCCGAGGGTGTAAATCTTTGTGGGATCATAAAACCTCATCTTTTTCATGTGGAGCAGTTGGTGGGATCAAACAACTGACCTTATGATTTACAGTCCAGTAGTTATCCTACAGATCAGGGAAATGCTGAGGCTTCATAAAAGTGAGTTTGGAAATGTTTCCTCTTTCTTATTTTCTGAAAGAGGTTTGTAGAATCAGTATTTTGGTAAAATTCACCAATGAAATCATCTGAGCTTGGAGTCTTCTTTATTGGAGAATTTTTAACGTTAAGTTCTTGTTCTTTAATAGATATAGGACTATTCAGGTTATCTGTTTCTTCTTGAATGAGCTTTGGTAGTTTGTGTCTTGTAAGGAATTGGTCCATTTCAAATTGAATTGTGCAAGTATAATGGGTATGAAGCTGCTTGAAGTATACCATTATTATAATCTTAATATCTGCAGGCTCTGTGGTGATCCTCTCTTTCATTCCTGATATTGATCATTTATGCCTTGTGTTTCTTGTTCTTGGTCTGTCTGGGTAAGCTTTATCAATTTATTGATATTTTCAGATAACCAGCTTTCTCACTGATGCATGATTTTTCTGTTTTTAATTTCTTTGATTTCTGCTCCTATCTTTATAATTATCACTTTGCTCTGCAAAAAACTGACTGGTTTTAATTTGCTCTTCTTTTTCTAGTTTCTTAAAGTATATATTGAGATTCTTGATTTGTCATCTTTCTATGTTTCTAACATAAGCATTTGAAGTCCTGGTGGCATACTGGGCTGTGTGTTGGCCTGTTAACCATAGCGTCGTTGGTTCAAATACACCAGCTGCTTTGCAGGAGACAGATGAGGCTTTCTGTTCCCATAAAGATTTACAGCCTCGGAAACCACCTTATACAGGGAAGTTATGTATGAGTCAGAACTGACTTGAGGGCCCACAACAACAACCAAACAATATAAGCATTTACTGCTTAACTTTCCCTAAGCACTTCTTTAACTGTATCCCACAAGTTTTGATTTTGATTTCATTCCCCAATTTGTTGCATTTTCATTTCTTTCAGTAAAAAATACATTATAATTCCCCTTGAAATGTTTTCTTGGACCCTCATGTATTACCTAGAAATGTGTTGTTTAATGCCCTGGTGTTGTTGTTATAAAGTGCCTTCCAGTCGATTCTGACTCATAGCGACCCTAGATAGGGTTTTGAGGAGCAGCTGGTGAATTTGAACTGCACACCAGAATGAAACACAGCCCGATCCTGGGCCAGCCTCACTACTGTTGCCAGGCTTGAGTCCATCGATGCTGCCACTTGGCCAATCCATCTCGTTGGGGGTCTCCCGAGCTTTTATCATAACACAGGGTAATTCATCTACCCTCCCTCCCCCCAATCTCCAGCTTCTTTTTAAAAATCTTTTATGTATCTAGATGCAAAGCAAAAGATGCGCCAAGCCTGGAAGTCCTGGTTGATATCTGTGGTAGTTCGTAGGACCAAACTTCAGATGCAGACTGCCGCCCTGGAGTTTAGGCAGCGGAATGTCTTATGGTGAGTATATTCAATTGTCCTGTCAATCAACAGTCAGCATTGTACTCAGCCTTGCCTTATTCTGCTGTGAAATTATGCTTCTAACATAATGTCTAAAAGTGTGTGTGAAATGAAGTATAAGATTAGATTTTTGTATAATCTTGGTGGTGGTGTTGTGTGCCGAGGAGTCAGTTCCCACAGCAACCCTGTATAGGGCTTCCAAGGCTGTAAATCTTTATGGGAGTAGAAAGCCTCATCTTTCTTCCATGGAACGACTGGTAGTTTCTAAGTGCTGACCTTTATGATCTTACTGAGCATTATATGAATACTTAATAAAGTCTGAACTCTGTGTTAATTTTGTGTAGATGTATGTTGACTTTTTTTTTTTTTTTTTAATGTAAAGGACCTTATTTTATTATTTTAAAGTTTTTATTGTGAACTGAGTGATAGTATACAGGGAGAACATTGGCTTTATGCCGTTGTTTCATTGCAATGATTACAATCTCCTCCATGCATCATCATTCAACAGTATTTGATTCCATTCTCTGCTTTGTTTTTGTTTTTTTTCTTTGGGGAAGGAGGTATACAGAAACACTCAGGAATATATAATAACTCGAACAACCAAAGGGCACATTCTCCAAAACTGCATCCTGGCCACTAGTACCTAGTCCTTCTCTTTCCATGAGCCCAGAGTCCTCAGCTGCTGTAAAGGACCTTATTTAATCTTTGCCATTGTTGTGTTGTTAGGTGCCATCGAGTCGGCACCAACTCATAGCAACCTTATGCACAGCAGAACGAAACAATGTCCGGTCCTGGGCCAACCTCACTACTGTTGCCACACTTGAGTCCATCGATGCTGCCACCTGGCCAATCCATCTTGTTGGGGGTCTTCCTCTTTTTCTCTGACCCTCCATCTTACCAAACATGATATCCTTCTCCAGCCGCTGTTCCCTCCTGACAATATGTCCAAAGTATGAGAGACGAAGTTTGGCCATCTTGGCCTTTAAGGAGCACTCTGGCTACACTTCTTACAAAACGGATCTGTTGGTTTTTTGTCAGCCCATGGCACTTTCAGTATTCTCCTCCAACACCATAATTCAAAGGCATCAATTCTTCTACGATCTTCCTTATTCACTGTCCAGCTTTCACATCCATATGAAGTTACTGAAAATACCATGGCTTGGGTCAGGTGCACCTTAGTCCTCAAGCTGACATCTTTGCTCTTCAGCACTTTAAAGAGTTCCTATGCAGCACATTTGCTTAATGCAATATGTCATCTGATTTCTTGACTGCTGCTTCCATGAGTGTTGATAGTTGATCCAAGAAGAATGAAGTCCTTGACAACTTCAATCATTTCTCTGTTGATAAGAATGTTGTTTATTGGTCCAGTGATGAGAATTTTTGTTTTCTTGACATTGAGATGTAATCCATACCAAAGGCTGTGCTCTTTAATCTTCATCTGTAAATGTTTTAAGTCCTCTTCACTTTCAGCAAGCAAGGTTGTATCATCTGCATATCTCAGGTTGTTAATGAGTCTTCCTCCAATCCTGATGTCACATTTTTCTTCATATAACCCACTTCTCGTATTATTTGCTTAGCAAACAGGTTGAATAAGTATGGTGAAAGAATACAACCTTGTCGCACATCTTTCTTAATTTTAAACCATTCAGTGTTCCCATGTTCTGTTTTAACAACTGCTGCTTGTTCCAGGTACACATTCCTCATGAGCACAATTAAGTGTTCTGGAATACTGATTTACTTTGCAATGTTGTCCACAGCTTGTCATGATCCACATAATCGAAAGCCTTTGCGTAGTCTATAAAGCACAGATAAACATCTTTCTGATAGTCTCTGCTTTCAGCCAAGATCCATCTGACATCAGAAATGATAGCTGTCGTTCCACGGCCTCTTCTGAATCCAGCTTGAACCTTTGGAAGTTCTCTGTCAATATATGATTGTAGCCGTTTCTGTATTACCTTTAGCAAGACTTTACTCGCTTGAGATATCAAAGAGATTGTCTGATGATTTCCAAATTCTGTTGGGTCACCTCTCTTTGGAATGGGCACAAATATGGATCTCTTTCAATCAGTTGGCCAGATAGTTGTATTCAAGATTTCTTGGCAGAGATGAGTGACTGCCTCCTGAGCTGCCCTGCCTCACTTTCTTGAAAGATTTCAATTTTGATTCCATCAGTTTCTGGTGCCTCGTTCTTTGCCAGTTCCTCAATGCACCTTGGACTTCCTCCCTGAGTATCATTGGCTCTTGATCATATGCTACCTCTTGAAACGGTCGAACATTAACCATTTCTTTTTGGTACAGTGACTCGGTGTAAAAAAGATAATCCTTTGTCATTCTATAATTGTTGTCTGTTCTTGTTGGTTCTCAGTCCACAGAACTTCCATTAGGATATTTTTCATAGCAGGGTTGGCTTTGGAAAAATTCCTTAGCTTCTGTTTATCCTAGAATGTTTTGATTACACCATCATATTTGATTGACAGCTTTGCTGGGTAGAGGATTCTTGCTTGGCAGTTTTTTTCTCTCAGGTTTTTATATATGTCTCCCCAGTGCCTTCTTGCCTGCATGGTTTCTGTTGAGAAATCCGAGATTAATCTGATTTGTTTGCCATTGTATGTTACAATTCTCTTTTCCCTAGCTGCTTTCAAGATCCTGCCCTTATCTTTGATTTTGGAGAGCTTGATTATTATATGTCTTGGTGATTGTCTTTTAGGGTCTATCCTTCCCAGGGTTTGTTGAGCTTCTTGAATGCTTATCTTTTCACTTTTCAGGATGTTAGGAAAATTTTCTTCCAGAAGCTCTTCAACTATCTTCTTTGTGTACTTGCGTGATTGTTCCTGTTCCGGAATGCCAATGATTCTTAAGTTATTCCTCTTCATGTTGTCCAACATGAATCTTAGGCCTTCTTCAGATTTTTTTTATGCTTTTTTGTGTTTGCTTTCTATCTTAGTAGTGTTGAGAGATTTATCTTCTAGCTCACTAGTTCTGGCTTCTATCTCTTCAATTCTACTCCTTTGCCCTTTCAGTGTATT